TCCAATTTCAGGCGTGTCTCTGCAGCTGCCTGATATTTGTCTCACTGGCGTTGTTGTTTGTACTGCCTCCTCCCTCCTCCTCCTCCTCCTCCTCCTCCTCTTCTTCTTCTTTTTAGTTTCTCCTCAGATTTGAATCATGGGGGGTCGGGGAGCGTACTTTGTTCCCCCTCTGACAGCGCAGAAATAATTACAGTACAGCCTTCCCCCCTCGCTCGCTGTTATATTAGCCCTCTTATCAGGCGGCTGAGGGGGGTATTTGATCAACTAAGGTCACTGTATCCTGACCGCAGCACAACAGCTACACCGCCATTTGGAGATATGATAAATAAAAGCGGGCTGGTTGCAACAACACTGTTATCTTTTAGCGAGTGCTTTTTGTTTCATTCTCTCCCCTCGCTGCACCGCCTGTGTTTGTGCCTCTGCAGAAGAGAGGAGAAAGTTAAAGTAGAAGATGGAGAGAGTGAGCAATCTGGTGATTTGGTGCAAATGATAAGCTAAAGTAATAAATACATCTGCAGGATTTTGAGGCTTAAAACGCTCTTAGGCCTCGTGTGTTGGTGTTTTATTAGCTCCGTGGCCCTGCGGGCGATGGCGTGCGAGCTTTAAGGACGAGGCGGCTGTGGTTGTAAATGCAGCCACATTATTCTAAAACCCGCCCCGCAGACAGCAGCGCAGTGCCCGCGGAGATAATAGATGCACCTACATTATCCTGAAGTGGCGGGGAAATTGAGGGGTTAGGAGGTTGAGCAGAACAGATGTGCTTACATTATTCTAACGGCGACTGATAGCGACGGGGGTCGAGGCACGAGGCGCAGAAATAAACACGTCGACATTATTCTGGAGTCACGGGAGAGCGAGAGGTGAGAGCGAGCGAGGAAAACACATGCAGATACATTATTCTGGAGTCAAAGTGAAATTTTTAGAGGTGGAGGTGAGGCGGGGGGGAGTGCAGGCACCATTACTCTTCAGTTTAAGTGATAGTGGGAGGTTAAGGATGCAGCTTTACCGACATTACTCTCAACCCCGAGAGAGACAGCAGGACTGTGAGCTGGTTAGTATAATCGATGAGGCATGAACGGGGACGGGAGGAACATCTAGAGGCGTAAAGAATAATTACCACAAGCTATTCAAAAATGATATATCAGAGAAAGTGGAAATTATTTAGAACCACAGAACCATCCTGAACTCAGAGAGGACCGATCTCTAAGATTTACTATTGCCCTGTTCTCAGAAGTCTCTGGACCTTTAGAAAGTACATAAGCCCTATCAGGGTCTTTTTTAGGGGTAGATCTTCAGACCACAGAACTACATTTCTACCCTGGTAGATTTGGTGGAAACACACAAAGTTCTTCAAAAAGACCATAGTTCTGGGGTAAAGTTCCTCCAGTGGAAACAGGGCTAATCACATGATTACATTTTCTGAAATTAAAACTTAATGTAATGCTGCTGTGATTCTGATGATTTGCACATTTGAACACGACAAACCAGAAATCCACCAACGATTTTTTATGTTTAAGTAGAATCATGTTTCAGGATGTTTGTCGAGCATGTTACCGTGTTACTTAGCTTTGGAAAGTAGTCTGCTGCACGCACGCACGCACGCACGCACGCACGCACGCACGCACGCACGCACGCACGCACGCACACACACACACTGAACATTGCTCTGGCGTCTCTTAATAAAGTCAGATTCATGAATTTGTTCGTCTTCCACAGAAACCTGCAGCCTGACGATGACAGCTAGTCGATGGTATGACAGCCACGATGCAAAGTAACGCACGGCTCCTTCCTGACAGCACTCGGCCTGTATGATCAGCGTGTGTGTGTGTGTGTGTGTGTGTAATATATTCAGCGCTCATGTGAAGCCTCCTGACACTCTAAGTGAACGCTTTCCAGTCTCGACTCTCTGATTATCACTTTGAGGCTCTGACAGAGTCCTCGGATAAAAGAAAAAGAAGCTGGATAAGAGACAAACTTCTCAGTGAACGGATACAGAGGTGACGGCCAGGTACGCAGCTGAAGATCAGCTTCCTGTTATCTCTGGTGGTGTTACACTGTTTCTAATCGTCAGTAGCAGAAAGCATCACATCGGAGCAGAGCGACATTTCTGAGCACAAACTAAGTGAGGAGAAAAACACGATTATTTCTATATCGGCATGAAATCAAGATTTGTGAGCACAACAAACATGAGCTTGATTCTTACTATAATGAGTGTTTTTATTGGGCTCTTCAGGACAGGATTCTGCGGCACACTTACATCAGAAGGACAAAGGACACTCCTCTGAGGATGACAACGTGCACATGCTGGACAGGGAAGACCGTTAGCTTGACAGGGGTGTTTAAGAAGCCATCTTTGTTAAGGTGGAGAAGGTCTGACATGTCATCTTTCACTGTTTTGAGTTCTGACCCAAAACAACTGAAGCCCCGTTCCCACCTTGGAACATGTGACTCCAACGACCCACAGACGACTGGGGCTGGTAACGACTCAGCTAACAACCCTCATGTAAGTCATCCTTTAGCATTAGCATGCTAATGGTCCACAGAGACTTACAGTTCTAGCTCCGTCCACCAGAAAGTTTAGAACTGAAGACGCCTTTTCAGAGGAGGTGAAACATCTTTAAGATCTTCAACCCGTCCAGTTGCCTTTGGATCAAGCTTTGAATGTTTTTATTACAGCTGTCAGCGTTTTACACGTTAGTCACAAAGCAATTAAGGTCTGAAATTAATGCACTCATTAATTAACCTCATGCTATTTTGTCCCTTCAGGCTCACCGTAGATATTGGTCCTCAGTGTCTCAGTGATGTAAAAGGACACTGCTGCATCTTTGAATGTCTCATTTCACTTTAACAAACTCTCAGACAGCTCAGCTGACGAGTCCAAAGTCATAGCCACCTTATGACATCACACACTGACCTTATGACATCACACACTGACCTTATGACATCACACACTGACCTTTGTTACCGTTCCTTCGAGCTGTTTGACCTCAGTTTGGGATCCCTAACCACTTCCTGTTTCTGTGCTTAACTTCATGTCCTAACCTTCAATCTACAGGAAGGGCCTTAGTGTATTTCAAAATAAAAGCAGGGTTGAATTCAAACAGGATGTAAAGTACTCTCATCTTAAGACAGTACAACATTTCATAATAAAAGCCTGATAAAAGCTGATTTAAAATGGTAAATAATGGAATTTTAAAAAACGGACTTGCTAAAGGGAGGAAGAGAACAGAATATTTAAAACTAAGCTTACACGTGCTAACTTAGATTATAAATGTACCGGGAGTCTGCAACAAACACCTAGCTGTAGGAGTGTCACCCACCTGGGGGAGGGGTTACTGCCCTGTGATGTCATGAAGGGAAAATCTCCAAACGGCTTGTTTGAGCACACATTTTCTGAAAAGTGGAGCAGGAAAAAGACGGAGAGGATGGACTTTTCTCATCATTGGGGGGTTTGTAGACAGACTAGGGACACATATTAGAGTTAGAGGAACATGGTGAAGTGGATTTTGTAAAATATGTGACCTCTAATGGTGGTAAGAAGATGAGTTTCTAAAAGACCTATGAAGCTCCAAGTGACCCTGTGTTTAATGGCTTTAAAACAAGACGCAGAAGAAGAATCATTGAAATCCAGACCGACTATCGATGAGATACATTCCTTTATTGTAATTAAATTCTGAAACGTCTGCTCAGCTGCAGGAATGTCACGTCAAAACCAAAAGAGCTTTAAAAAAAACTGCTCAGAGAAAAGCATTTCATCATCTGTGAAAATAAAAATCTAATCAAACTGAAAGTTCTCAACCATTGCACATCATCAGGCGGCAGAAAGAGGGAAAAAAAACAAAAAAGGAAGCAATCAACACTTACAGTTTTATATGATTGAAGAGTGAAGAGTCGGGTCGAGAGATGAAAAGCAAAAGAAAAGGATCATTTAAATATCTCCAGTTTTAATCCATGAAAAGATGGAAACGATTTTTATTTTAAGATTCAGGATTAAAAAAAAAAAAATGAAATGTGCTTTAAATTCAACGACACAAAAATCAAGAACGGTTTCATAACTGAACCGCAGCCGTCACACTGATCAACATGAAGAGACACAGCCGGTAAAAAGAATCCTCACAGTCTGAGGCTGCTCTCTGGACGGACACACACACTCACTCTGTCACCTGTCAATCACTCACATCGACACTCCGGAGACACTCGGACGCTCGGAAATCTGACTCCACTTCAGTCTGTTTATACAGGAAAACCCTTCATCTGCAGCGAACTCAGCATGTTAGCGTCACCAGCTGCGAGAATTAAATATTTAAAGATGCTAACGAGCCGTTTGATTCTGAAACTTCAACGGACAGATTTCAAACCGTCAAAGTCTTTTCCTTTGAGGGAAACCAGGAGGAGGAAGAAAGACACCGGGATTCAGTTCAAGACTTCAGCCTCAGTTCAGAAACGTTACCGACTACGTCCCCTTAAAGATGTTAGCGTTTTCTCTAGTGACATTTTTATCTTACAGAACTGAGGAGTTGCTGGTCTGCCTTGAATGGTTAGACTTTGTGTAACACAAATATTGTGTTGGATCGTTCGTCCTTCCTGTCTCCATGACAACAGTTTGTCGACATCGGTCGCTGTATGACCGACACTGCTCCGTTACTTTTTTACTGCGTGTTTTATATTTGAGATTGTTTTTTTAACCCGATCAGACACGGACCGAGGAGGACGTGGGTACAAGACACGATCCGTAGGAGGTTAAAACTACGGGGAATATCAAACATTTGGAAAAGAGCGGCGATAACGTCAACAGCGCCTTTCTGAAAAGATGAAAGATTTGAGTGCTTGGAGCGTTCGCATAAAAAAGGCGGAGCGCTCAGAGGAAAAGACGCTGGGCGCTGCGCTTTTTCTCCAGGCGGCCGCTTTCTGCTGAGAACGCTCTCTACTCATTGAAAACATTTTTAAAAAGACGCTGGTGCTCAGAGAAAAAGCGGTCGGTGGACACGGGGCGTTAGTTATTCTCTACAGTTTTAAAGAGGAAATAAAGAAACTTTCACGACCTGGAAATGTTTAAAAACCTGCCGTGAACGACATCAGGAGGTGAGATTCTTCCTCCTCTGCTCTCTTCAGCTCAAAGACGTTCAGAAACTGAAAGTGTTGCCTTCACTTTTTCGGTCATACAGCAACAAAGCATCAAGTAAAGGCTCTTATTTTGACAGGTATGCCAGGAAGCGAGGAGACTGACCAGGTGACAGGAAGTACAAGACACAAAATAGCAAAGGCTGCAGTCGGTCGTCCTTCTGCAAACTGACTCCGGAACAGCTTGGATAGTTCGACTGAGAGGTGAACTTAATACGCCATTTAGATCCGCATGTTAGCGCTGTTACCATGGCAACCGATAGTGCTCGATAAAGGTAAAAATAAAATAAAAAGCCTGTTGAATGTTATAATCCTGCTTTTAAAAAACACAAAGACACACGCTGCTTTACAGAAAGAAATCTAAAAGTTGAAGCTGCATTGGGAGAGAAAACAGAACTACATTTCCCAGAGAACACTGCAGCAAGACACATCCAATCAGAGAGCTTCAGACTCTGTTGCTGGATGGTGTGAGTAAAGCTCTCTCTATTTTTTTTTTATATACATTCAGTGTCTCATAATTTTGACTTTTTTCAGAGCTTCAAAATCTCTTCAACATCGCGAACGCACATTTTTAAATATTTACTTTTTTAAATCTTCTTACTTCTATATTTTCAGTTTTTGGCGACAATGTGCTTCCATACATTGTAAGAGAGAACTCACTGGGAAAACAATATAATATGTCTTTACCTTTGAATATGGATATCTGTTTTTGTGGAGGGAAATGGAGGTTAATAAACATAAACAGTTTTTAACAGAGTGAGATTCTTCCACCGCCATCACCTCTTCTCCGCTCCCCTCGTGTCGGGATAAACAAATGACAGCGACGTGGTTGTTTAAAAAGGACACCATACCAAATAGAATCTAATTATGTGCAGAAAAAAAAAAACCATCACCAGGGTCATGACTCGTGCTGCGTTCAGGTTGCATGGGATTAACATAAAATCAACACGTTTTTTATTTTATTTAAAAGTTCCCCGTTGTAACTCGTACTTCACATTTGTTTTAATCTGACACCCTTAATTCTGATCACCCTCAGAAGCAAACATTATGTGGAGTGCAAAAATGCAGAAGCTAATAATTCCCACAGGACTTGAACGCATCACAGAGTTCAGCAGACAGAAAGAAGAAGAAGAAGAAAAGATGTCAGTCTGAGTTTCGCTGTTGATTTTTTTTCTTTTACTGCAGAAAGAGTCGCTCCTCTTCTTCGTTAACAGGAGGAGGAAGAGGGTGATCCGACGGGGACTGGTGCATTATGGGTAGTGTAGTTTGACCGGAGCCAGTCAGGACTGTCTGTTGTGTTTGTGTGGACTCTATGAGATGGCCTTCGCCTCGGGTAAGAAGGCCTCCCAGTATTTAATCAGCTGAAGGAGAGAAACAGAAAAAACATGAGAATCTAGTTTTGTAAAATGAACTTTCGCTTTTTTAATGTGAGTCATATAAAATATAAAACACATTAAACATGATCACAACTCTATGTGTTGATTCACAGGTTCCCTGAGTTAAATAAATACTGTCTTATCCACAAACATATCTCAGTAAAGGTCGCTTTGACATGTGATGCTTCATTTTTTTAGTTAGTTTGGACCAAGAAATTTTACATAACTCCCTGGGACTTTTCACATCATGTATCCCTCCGCCTCCTCAGCCAGGACGTCTGAGTACATTTAATGAACTTTAACAGCTGACTGAGTTTCTCTGCATTCATCATCTCAAGCCTCAGAATCAAAACAGACTCGTGTTAAAGTTCATTTCTTTTAACAAAGGTTCATACTACAGAGTAGCTGCTCTGCTATAACCATGGACACCAACAGGAGAATAGAATGTTTCTAGTTTCAGATCACTTGTGGAACTTGTTGACTTTTTATCACTATTTTCTGCTTTTATAATCGTTGTATAAAATAAAACATCACCCTGCAGGATGAGGCGTTAAACTCCACATCAGACCTGTGTTAATATTCAGTTCAACATGTCTCCAGCTTGTGTCATTTGTCTTCCTTAAACTCTACTCAGGTTATAAAATATCAAATAAATGAAAGTTTGTTTGTGTTTACCTGCTGTTGTGTCTGAACCAGTGACTCCAGGTATTTAATAATGATCGCTTTAAAGTCCTTCACTCTCTCTTTCTGTTCATAAAGAATACACAAGTCAAGTTAATTTAGATACAACATCATTTTGATCCATGTTGTAATCATTCATTCTTCCATCCATCCATCCATTCAACCATCTATACATCTAACCATCTAACTGTCAATCCATCCAACCATTCATCCATCCTTTTACTGTCCATTTGACAATCCATCCACCCATCTAACCATCCATCCACTGATCCATCCATCATGTAATCTATAAAGGATTATTTTTGTTATCTGTACATCCATCCATCCATCCTTTGACCATTCATCTTTCAATCCATCTTACCATTTACCCATTTGTCCATTCATCCCTCCCTCCCTTTGTCCGTCTATCCATCCATCTAACCATCCATCCATCTATCCAACCATCCATCCACTCCACCATCCATCTCTCTGTCCATCCATCTATCCATCCTTTGACCATTCATATTTCAATCCATCCATCCATCCATCATCCATCGTCTCACCTCAAACCTGCTGACTTCTTTGCGGATGGTTTTAGAGATTTGCTCAAAGTCTCTCTCTCCCTGTTGGACCTTCACCTCCAGCTGAAACACACAAACAGTAACATTTAGTTTTCTGTTTAGAATCTGCACTTTGAATCCACATTTTCAGAGCAACAAACTTAGTTACTCCTCATGAATATTTAAAGGATAAATTCTCCACTGATTGAACTCTTCATTGTTTTCTTCAAACACTCAGATCCTGGATTTTAAAGTATCACTTTATCAAAAATTAACCACATGACGATACTGAGATCTGTATTTGGAACATTTTACACTGTTGGTGTTTCTCTCTAAACATGTGTTAATGGACATTTGATAAATCAACCTCAAACCTGAGTTTACATTTCTGTCTGGGAATCCTTAATTGACCATGTAATATAAATTCTAACTGATGAATAATTAAAGCTAAACTTCCTGTTGTTGTCTTTCTGAAGAGCTTCGTTAGAGACACTCAAACTGAAGGGGAATCAGAGTCAAACTTTAGAGGTGTGAAGTCAAGTCCTGATTTTAGATGTAAGCTTTAGTTTGAACTTTGTAAAGAAGGCCGTTCACATTTCAGTCGTGAATAAATCAAATGAACAACTAGGGGTTTCATTCAACAACACGAGGGTTTAAAAAGATCATCATTTAGTTTGAACTGTTTTGAGTGCAAGCTGAAAGAAAACCAAAAACAGAGCGCATAAAACCAAAAAAATATTTGATCATACTTTGAATGTCAACTTTCAGAACGTCTTAACGTTTTGTTCAGACCTAGCCAAAAAAATGTAAGAATAAAGCAAAACCCTGTGTTCACATTTTAACAATTTTTAAGAGATTATGAGATTTATTTGTTTCTTTTTTTTAGACAACAAATGCACGATGTGACCAATTCACTTTCCCTGCAGCAAACCAACATCTTCTTTGTTTAATATTTTAAAAATACCGACTTGATTAATCATTGGGCAATTCAGATTTGCAGAAATTTGATTTTTATCCAACTTCAAACTAGGGATGCATCGTTCAACATCGGTATTGGACATATCGATATCGGCCCTGTTGACAGACTTCAGCACATCGACAAATAATGTGACATTAGCCGATGTCAGTGCCCGATGTTTATTAATTGTGCCAAACTACTACTGGCTTCAGAGAAGTCATGAAACAAACATCGGTATCAGAGTCGGTAATCGGCTAAATTGTTATTTCAAACATCGGTTTCTGCTCTGAGATTCCTAACCGGTGCATCTCTCCTTCAAACTATTCCACTTGTGGAGCATCCTTTTCCACACCTGTGAGAATGTCTCTGAACACTTCAGATAAGTCGATTATTGAAGTTATGATATTTAGTGAACAAACACAACAAACACAAAGTTAAATGAGTCGTTTAAATCTTATGATGAGATTCATCTTCACTGAACTTTCTGGTTAATTACGTTCAAACTTGAGTGAGTGATGTGATGAAAACAAAAAGTGTCACATGAAAAGGTTCGTCTGTTACCGAGCTTTCAGGCTCAAATGAAACCCAGAGGTTCACAAACAACTTGTGTCCAAAGGTAAATTTGAATAAACAAACATTTTTCATCAAACCAATTCATGGGACTGATCATGTGACGCTTTAACAGCCGGAACAAAACACAGCACCAAAACCAACGAGGAGCGTTTTATGAAAATACTGACAGAGAGGAAAATGCAACTGAAGAGGAGTGAAGCAGGCAGACAGGCAGGTGGACGCAGAGCTGCAGACACACACACAGACAGATAGACAGACAGACAGACAGACAGACAGACAGACGGGGCAGGTCCTACCTCCTCAATCTCCTGGGTGCAGGAAGGCATGGCGGGGAAAACGCAACAAAATTTAAGAGGCAGGAAAATAAAAAATGTTCAGAGCTTCCAAAACCAAAGAGGAAGATCCGGTGACATGAGCAAAGAAAAAAAACACTGACAAAAATAAAAAGAGCTCCTCCCTCAGACTGTGACAGAAATCAAACTTCTCCTCACACCGTAAAATTAAACTTACTTCCTTTTTTGTAAAGTCACAAAAGCTGAAAAGTCTGATTCTTTGTGTCTTGTTTTATTTAGGACCTGCTCGTATTCATCAGTTTAAAAGAGCAATATGTAATCCTGACACCTAGTGGTTAAAATGAGTACTGCAGTCAAATTCTAAACATTGTAGAGAGCTGTCTCCCCCCTCCGCCCCTCCTCTCTAGAGTCGATGCTCACACAGGTCACCATGTGGTGGA